ACCACCACCACCACCACCACCACCACCACCACCACCACCACCACCACCACCACCACCACCACTTCCTCCTCCTCCTCTTGCTACTCTCCCCACCAATCGAATAAATCCCTAATGGATGTGACTGAGTAGCAAATAACTGAGAAGCGAGTGACAAAAAGAGGCAGAGACAAAATCTTCTCTCCGCGAGACTTGAATCAATGGTATTGCAACGGCTACATGGGATGTTCACACATGACCCAACTCCAGACTCGAGACGACTGCCGGGAGTAAATCAGTGATGAGTGCAAAAAGATAATCGACATAATAAAGTAGTGTGTGTTCTCCCTATAGTACTGCCTATTTCGCGATGATTAACGAAGGGAAGCGTCAAAAATGCTGTTTGAAAGAAGGACGGTGGACGCTTTACGGGCATTTAAAAGTCCGCCTATTAGCCCTCCTGATGGCCACATCGATAGGCCCTCAGACCTGCTTTCGTTTTCGCGAGGGTTCCACCCCAAAATACATCCAATTAATCCCACTTGTCCATTCCAGAAGCAAACACTATCTCCTTGGGTCGGGAAAGAGGAGTCAAGTGTGTATGCTTAAATACTTCTCAATTTCATTATTTTTGTCCCAATGAAGGCGGAAAAGCAGATAAAAAACCGACTGATTTTCGCATTAACTTAAAGCAATAAGCACAACCGACAGCAATGCCAACCCCTTAATGGTCACCCCAGGCACTTTTCCAGGGCGTGAGTCTTGGAAAAGCTAACCCTAATGCTTCTCAAAGAGGAGGGATAAGGTGTAACAATGTCCACTCGAGGTCTAAATTTTGATGACTCCACATCCTCATGACTACTTTGGGGCGGAAATTCACAGCCACAATGCTCCCATAGAAAAGTTTGTTTCTTTTTTCTTCAATTGCTATTTTAACCAGTAGCCAAATTAAAAACAAATTTGTATTCTTTTAGTTAAGTCATGGAGAGAACATTCAATCGTGCTTTTCGTGTTGACTTTTATAATTTTATCCACCTCAAGTCCTCTCTTCAACACAAGATTTGACCTTGGCCAAGCATTCTCAACCAAAGGAATCATGTTTTTGCCCACTTCTTAAGCCACATCATCAGGCGGTCGTGCATCAATTTCCCTGAAGCACTTCAAAACTGCTGTTTATTACCTTTCAGAGGGTTTAAGTAATCAGTGTTAGGGCGACAGGGCAGCATTAATTAGGGCGTCCCAAGAGCCTGTAAAACGAGGACAAATTGGGACGCTTTCAGCACACTCAACAACTAGGCACTTTGGCGTTTGACAGTTATGAGAGCAAAATGTGTTTGAATCACCATTTTTCTTTGAATGGCTGTAAAATCAACTGTTTCATTACTAAAAAATCACAGGAGAAGGAAGTAGGAGCCGTTGCGTTCAAAGTCGTAATAATTTCACTGAGCCTCCTACGAAGAACAAATTTAGCGCGTTTGGGCAACTCATGTGGAGTGGGAAAAGAGTTTATCAAGATGAAATTTCCCAACTTTCCACCATATGCTCGTTGGATTATTTAGCCACCACTTCTATTGCTGTCAGAAGAGGCATAGCTCGCCTTTCGGGTGACACTTCCTCACTCCACACGCCACATGAATTTGCAACCTTTAGGAGGTAAAACACTCACCAGCTTCTACTGACTTCAGCGAACAGTAAAGAGGCTGTTGACATCGTTCACGACAAACGAGATCATTATTATTTCTCCAGTGACTCCACCAAAGCCCAACCTTGTTGGTTTACATATAAAACGTTTTATTGCATAGCACCTTGAAGCCACAGTGACTAGAGTAGGGATTTGCAAATAAAAATTGCCGTCTTAGAAAAAAAATAACAAATTAATGAATGCTTACTCGTGCTGGATGTAGGCGTACACCATAGAACTCCACTTTTCTCGCCGTATCGAGGAGCGCAAAATCTGCATCCGTCGGGGACATTCCACTAGGAAGTAAAGCCACAAATCATAACTCCTGCCTAGGTATGCACAGCGTACCTCCAGAGAAGTACTGAATGCGTACCGGTTAACAACAGGCAGTGATTTTGTTAGTTTTGTCACACTTTTGTGTTCGTCAAACCTGTTAAGCCTACCCCCTAGCCTGGCATGGGTGTTTGAAACAGATTCTGAAGGGAACATTTGAGGTTTTGCATGCAATGAGTCTCATTTATTCGCATTAGTGCAATCAAAGGGATCAACGATTGAAAAGATTATCTTTTCGACGGCCGCATCATCAAGCACCGAATGAACGAAACAAATCAAGGTTGACTAAAGCCCTTTCTGCCTCACAACTGAGCAGAATAACCCTTAAACGAGGTGTAAAGAAGCTTGATGCATAATAAGGAGTAGTCAATTACAACTTTTGTTTGAGTTTGCTGAAATCCGCTTTCAATAAGTTATAGAGGCTATTTGTCGCTGGATTTAGTCCCATACAAGCCTGGCTTTTGTTTTAATAAATTATACAATTCAAATATTATTTGAGAGATCGCATTTGGTTTTACCAAAGCCTACTATTGCCTTCCACCTGTACAGTTGCTTTCTGATGTCTTGAACGTTAGTAACAGATGCATAGGAGAGGTGACATTAGAGCAATACTGAAGTAAGTCCTGGAAGCTGCGAGACAGGCCTGCCATGCCCCAGTCGGTGGCGGCGGCGGTGGTGGTGGTGATGGCGGTGGCGGCAGTAGCAACAGCAGCAGCTTGTGGTGATTCGATTTCGCGTTGGCCAATAAGCGCTTCGCCGTTCCCCATCACGTGGGCAGGAAAAGTGGCATTCTGCCAACCACACGTTTTTATAAAAGTGGCTAAGTTTCTGCCCCGATTTCTCCACCCCCCCCCCACACCCCACCAAAAGAGACGACATCAACAGAATTAAAATAATTACGCGTATTGAGAATCATCCCTGCCCTACTCTTCATCAAATGAATAAAAAGTTAACTTCATAGCGTTAAGTAGTCCAGTTTGAGAAATTAACTCATGCTAACAATAATATACGTTTATTATTAATCAAAATCGGGGAAAATCTTCGAAATGCGACAAAAGTAATGCTTAGAAGGCTTTTAATCTCTTCTTTTTAGTTTCATAGGTTCTGCACTCTCTGCCTTTGCATTCCCACTGGACGATGACGGCTCCTCTCAACTCTTCCCGGCTTCAGCAATACGCATTCTGCCTTGATAGTGCCTCCTCTAGTCCTCGGAAAGGATTCAGGACGCTAATAGTTGCTTCATCCACAAATGCGTTTCAACCTTTTCCCCAATTCTTCAAAAAACAGCACACACCAAGACAAAGTGTTTGTTAATTAACAAGTCCGAATAAAGTGTGAAATAACCTACATTTCAGTTAAATTCACATGGGATTGTAGAAATGGACAACCGTAAAGAAGAACGGAACGAGTTTGATGAGCTATGGACTCGTTACAGTCTGGTGGGTCGACAGTAGTGCACGTGAATTAAACATCAAGCCATAATGACCAAGTGACCAAATGAGTCTTTACGCTTGAGTTGCATCCGCACTTCCATCCAATTCGTGTATGGAGGTTTCAGACGGCGTTTTAGGTGAATTTTCGTCAAGCAATTGCCTTTGCTTGCTTCACTCTTCAAAAAGTCAGCAATGTATCGAGCAAATGCCTACTTGGTGCGGGAGCTCCGGTGCGTTCTTCGCAAACAATTGCCTCTTAAAAGAAAGCCCATTTCCTCACAAAATAAAAGACTTCGTGCAGACAGCAAAGCATGCGAAGTTGAAGTTAGGGAAAGCGGAATCACCTTGATGGAATATTTGAAAGTTCAAAGAAGGCACCGTTTGTTAGCACCTGGAAGCCTTCTTTGAAACGCTTCCCTTATAAAGAGTTACGCTCCTAGACAAAATCCGTCAGTTTCAAAATGTCTTAACATTTAAGTTGCTTCCAAACTGAAGAAATAATTAATTGTTTTTGCAAAGATTTTCTCCATATCATCTGATCATCAACTTTGCAGAACTAAACTCCCCAAACGACTTCTCTGCTTTTAATATGCGCACAAACAGTTTCCCTCCCTAAAATCCCTGTCAAGTGGTACGATGAAATCACCATCAAATCTAATGAATTACAAATTTCAGCAAATTTATACCTTGAAAAAACTATGCAGGGACTGGAGAAAGTGCCTTATTCTTCAAAACAAAGTAAATATTCTTCTCCCCAGGGTCAGGAAAATTACAAACTCGATTTTATTAGCATTAGCGCAGTTTCTTAAAAATTGCAAAAAAAATTAGCTAATGAATTATAGTGAGCTGTATTTGGCCTAGTAAGGAGTAAATGTGAAACTCAAAAGCCCAAAATCTGAGAACAAAAGACGAGCAACAACGATGCAGTGAGCTTTGTTTAAACACACAAAGGTCCAAACGAGAATGACCCTCGAGTTGGTCTTGAACAAAGAAGGAAGGGAACAAATCAAAAACTTGACAGCTTTACTTGAAAACCTGCATTTTGAGAAATCTTTTGCATAATGCTGTGAGCTAAGAGGATGAAAGCACTGGTTTTGCATCTCCGGACAATTACACGGAAAGTAAGTAAGAAGGAGCTATGGCGATGAAGAGCAACAGATGTGAATGGATGAATTTGGAAATAAAGGCAGCGATAGTCAACTAGGCTAACTGCACAAAATGAACTTGCCTATAAAACACCTAATAAGATCCTAAACCCTTGGATGCACTTACACATGATTCTTGTGGAAGTCCATCACCCTCCTCAGTCGGTCGTCATTGGGCTCGTGGAGGATTTTCAAGTTGCGCAGGTAGTTGATGTCTCGATACTCCTCCTTAATGAAGTCGCCGATCTCAGCTAAGGTCACGGAAATCGTGTGCAGCAAACACATGGTAAAGCACAACAAATAACCAAACCAAAAAGTACCCATTAAATAGAATTATACCAAGTTACTATGAGCAGCACAAAGAACAATACTTTCCCCATTAAAGTGGGTTGGCAATGATGGGCGAGTCTACTCACAATGACAAGTCTACGAGTAGTAAACAGCATAAATAAACAATTTAAACAGTCTGTGAATGCGGCTGGCAACATTGCATACATTTAATCCCGTAGATGTGACATCAAGCACAGTTCTTACCATATCAAGGAGCTTACTTTATTATAGCATCACGGACTGCAAAGGGGTATGGGAAAATTAGGAGCGAATTTGATTTTGCCCCAGCAGTTGCATTTTGGAGGATAAGGTATCGAGGCCCTTTTGATTAACATGCAGCCAAAGGAACAATTTTCACACTCTTTTCATTCATTATTTCCGACCAGTCAAGCCAAGTGCTATCAATCAGCATTTTAATCTCACCCCTTGATGGAATGCTCGAGGTTTTAGGCATGGAACTTCATCATCTGCCTCCCGCATTTCGGAATTAAGTATGATGTCTTGCTGTTGTCCTCCTCACTCAAAAGATACCCAAGCTTTATATAAGTAGGTTTCAGCATCACGCCATGCAGTCGGATGTTATACATACAAGTAAAAAGTATTTGGACTCTACCTTGAACAATGTACGATCCAAGGAGCGCAGCTGTATTTTCACTGCATATCAGCACACCGGTGACTAAATCCCGCTTTATTTGCAGTGCAAACAAGTACCTAAAAATAGACAAATCCCGATAATTAAGTATGTCATTAGGACTTCAATGTTCATTTGCAATTGAAGCCGATTCTCTAAAAAAAGACCATGTGCAACAGAAAGTGTATGCAACGTCAAGGGAAATATTGCGCACGCTCTAGGTGGCCTTCGAAATGCAATGTTTACTTCAAACGTGAAAATGGAGCATTTCAAGCCATTTAGTGAAAACAATGCGATTGTCTAGAAAAGATTTTCAAAACTGCAGACTTTCTGCTAGTCGATCTTAAGATTACGAGTTTCGCAATAACGAGCATAAAACCAATCCAGGTAAACAAATCCAACTCTAAAAATGCGCGAAACGAAGCTAAAAGCGCATTCCGGATAGAGATTTTTAGGGAGACACTGCATACTTAAAGCCCAGATTTTTCAAGCTCGCGTACTTCTTATCATAATTCAGAATCATGGACGGGTATGTTACGTAGGTTTACATATAGCGCACAAACTCATTTGTAAGTAATTTTAGGCATGAATTACCCCAAATAGAACACCACACTGAATGAATTGTATCTTGCGACTTCCAGTTGTAACTTACCTCGTGTATTCCTCTTCTAGAAGGTTCGGATGTGGGGTGTAGAACTTTACACAAAAACGGAAAACCAAGTCCTTGCCATGGACAATCTGACGCACTAAGGGTCGCGTATGGTCCAGCCAGCACTAAGGAAAAACGGAATTATTACAATCATTTATAATGTGCTTAAACTCATCTGTTAATCCAAATGCTTATTTCGAACACAAACAACGCATTACTCCTGAAGTCAGAAATGATCAAAACATTGCCTCCGTTACGACTTTAAAACTAGACCTTTGATCAAGCGAATGAGGCCCATATCCATTCATTTAGAACTGAAAAAACAGCAAGGTTTCCTAATTCTACCAATGATACTTTGCTCAGTTGACCTCGACTTTCTTAAAAAGAATAGTGCTGCAAACAATACTTCGTAGATATTTTCAAAAATAAGACTCACAATTGGTACATAATTGCATATCACCAAAGAAGCAAAAAATCAGAGTATAGGTGCCAACGTTCAAGCCCAAAGCTATCAATTGTTGCTTTAGATTTGGATTTTATCATAAAGCGACACTCATGCTTATTTTTACAAAAATAGGGGACCATTACCCTGACTCCATCCTCATTCATAAATTCTAGGTCGAAATAGTCTGATTCGAGGATGTTGAACTTGCGTACCACTTGAACATAAAGGTCGGCACCACTTGCATGATGCTATGAATTAACAAAACAAAGAAGTGAGAAGCAGTACAAACAGAAATCAGTGAGAATACACAAAACATACTTACAAGAAGGTTGAAATCATGCACAGTTTCATCAAGATGCAGAACTCGTACACTGATTGTTTTGACCCTCTTTTCAACAGTACCCGATTTCTCAATAGCTTCTACCGTCATTCTAGATACTCGTCACTTAAACACAAAAAATTATTCAGAATAATGAGAGAGAAGGTAAACAAATGAGCAAGATAGTACATCACATACGACATTAGGAAAAGTGCAACGCTGAATAAATCATTTAAACTAGATAAAGTTTGAACTCGCAAATCAGCTTATTTCAATTTATGAAATTAACAACTGCGAATGCAACATCGTCAATGAAACAGGCTCCATCGCTGCTTAAAAACTAGCAAAATGAACTGATAGTAGATAAAGCTGGATTGCTTGACATAAGCCCAGCAAGGTAAGTAGCAACAATGCGATTGAAGCAAATTATCCCATGACCATGACAGCTCCGAGACCTCGGCAGTTACAATTTTGGAAGAGCCTTAATGAACATGATATCGATTTTCAAAAGGAGGTCTAAGGCCTCGATGTAGAATTACTTCATTCAGCAAATAATTAAACGACCTCCAAAAAATTTTCATCAATTTATATGCATGTAATTTTACGAAAGTACAAAGTGTTGCCAAGATATAAACAAGTTCCGTACAAAAACGCAGCGTTACACCCACATATACTATTTTGAAAAGCGCCTCTTAAAGAGTGGCCAACCTTAATGCTTTCTATAAACTTAAACAATTTAAGGTTGCATAGACTCCTAATGCACCTTTTCGGTTAATAAATTTAACTTTTAAAATGCACAAATTAAATTTTTTATTATTTTTAACTATGGGATTTAAATGGTTTTATTTCTAACCTGACCTTTATATGTAAAATTATTTGCCCACTATTAGGCGAATAACATTTAACTTGCAACTTGTGTGCGGTTGGCTTTCCGTACCATATTTTTTTGTTTTGCTTAAGGGCATACCTCTAGTATGTGAGGTCCCTCTGTAGTGTCTCGTGTCTTTCCATAGGGTGGAAGAAGGCAGTGAGGATGGGTACATTTATTTCGAAGAGAACAGACCAAATGGGCCTGAGCATGGTCTGAAAACCAGCCCACGAGTACAAGGGCCAGACAAATCCTAAAGTGGCCACAGAACGTCAGGTAGTCACATATACAAAGCACTGCACCCCCGAAGTCAACTTAAGGCGCAATTGTGGGTTAATTCAATTTTTAATTTTAGTAGACTATGGGTCTAATCACACGAATATATGGACAAGTGTGTAATAATTGCCTGTCTACCCTCTGGTCCCTGGTTCTCAGACTTTAAGGGGAAGTTGGTTGTAGACGATTTATTAGGCATCTCTATAAGAAGGATAGGGAATAATTGGTTTCCGCCTCTCACCTATAAAGGTACACTTAAACAACTAGAATATATTACAAAGTGCAGTAAGTGGAGATGAAAACATGTACCCTCAGAAGACTAGAGAGGTTGTGTAATGCTCTGTTTATGTGACCACCTGATATCTGACGGTTACTTTAAGGTTCGTTTAGCCCTTGTACGCATGAGCTGGACTTCGGGCCATGCTCAAGCCTAAAAACATTTTTGATCTCTGGAATACATGTATTCAGCTCCACATTCTGCATTCTTCTATCCGTACAAGGGTCAGACAAATTTCAAGGAAACTCCGGATGTCAGGCGATCACATAAATAAATAATATGTTACATATGCTTTTTACAAAAGGCGCGAGTTTCAAAATTTTATTTTGTCTGGGGTTTCTTGGGTACAAGAGTGTAAATAATGCTTGAGCATACTATGCTTAATCAGCAGCGATAGGGAACGAGCTGTTAGCGTGGCTAACAGGTTGACCTACCCACCAGAGGCGGCCATCTGTGTAACTGACAGTCACTTTAGTATTCACCCTTCTCTTTGCTGCATGGACTGGCCCACCGACCAAATCAAAACTCATTCTCTCCCACTTCTTTCTAAATGCAAGCATTAAGTTCTACTTAATGCCTTTTCGTATCTAATGTAAAGTCTCGGGACGTTATAATGATCACTTAATTATTCGTAACCAAAACTGGCACACAAACAAGTAAATGCCATTACAATACTTGTTTTGCTTGACTGCTATGTGGCAGGTACTTGAGCAGCCCTATTGCTTGTGCCGGATAAACTTTGCTTGAGGCAATTCCGAGAATATACACAGTCAGCCAAATAGTATCTGCTAGTGCCCATCAGCAGATACTGGAAACTCCGCAACCACAGGCCATTTATTGTTCTCTTTCATCTTGGCATGCAAGTGTTTAATTTTCAATCATTTAGAAATCACATCTATGGCAAATTCGATTTAGCATTTTATACGCTTTTTGCTGCTTTCTTTGAGGACAGACTGGAGCATACACAAATATGTTGAATTGCAATTTACATGAATTAAAGCTGAAAAACACCAAATTTCTGAATCTGCTTTAATAGGGTGATCTCCAGATTGTATTAAAAATATGATTGCATGAAGGTGCACCAGTGTCCTTTATCCTCAGTGCCGTGATAAGACGTGCAATTATCAAACAATGGCTTGTCTTTAGATTCCGTTAAAGCTGCAGTACGATAATATGACCAAAATGTCGTTACAATTGGAGCCCTAATCTCAGCCGAGTAGGGAAACTGTGAAATTGTCATCACTGAGAAAACTTAAGCCATGCAAAATTTGCACGAAAATTCGTGGCCAGAGTTTCCCCTATAGCTTTATACAATGACGTTTTTTTTTAAACTTAACTCCTTCGCCTCGCATAAGTTTTACTGACTGGCCAGTTGGGTCACTGATCATTATTTTGCTGAAACGGATGCATCGAATTGCGGCAGCAATGTGTGCACATCTTTACATCCTATAATGCAACAAGCCGGAATTAAGAGCATTTCGTACCCCGAGCCTCGATATCCTTTGTCTGTGATTAGGGCCTTCACTTCACCACTCCTCATGCCTCAGCGTCCCTTGAAATGATCGCTCGTGAGCGCCACTGCTCTGACTTCCCATTAAGTCATCCATAAAATGCTACCGTAATAGTTCGGTCATTCGTTTGGCTTAATTTAGTTTTTCTTCTAAAGGAATGCCCTTGGACAATGCCAACGTCTCCAGCCTTTTCCCTCACTGGAAATGCATTATTGTACAGGCATTATGGCTTCTTTCAACTTTAAAATGGCCTTGATGGACTGCGCCTTAGTTTTTTGAACAGTGGTGGCAGATTTGCCAAAACAACTGCATAATCGGAAAGTCCACATCAAGGTGTGCTTCACTGCATGCCCTTTAGTGCACGACTTTAGCATGGCGCAGTAAGAACAAGTTTTAGCTGAAAATTTGCTGCTGTAAGATAGCAGCACCGAGTGAGAAGGCAAGATGCCACTTGATTTCAATTTGTTGCATGGAGTTACAGACAAAAGAAGGTCGAGTAAATTTGTAAGTAAGCAAGCATTTCTGTGCAGAGACAGCAAAAGTGTTAATTAGAGCGGCTACACAACGACAAAATATGTGAGATGCCTACTACTGCAGCGTGGATTAAGCTTTCTCAATCATTCTTCTCATGAAAATGTTTCTGATCACCACTTTTTACAGATCACAACCAATCAAATTGACTGAGGGTTGACAAAAGTCGCATATGTATCTTTTGATTGTTAATGAAAGAGATAGGATGCGTCGAAACTATTCTACTGCATGAGAGTATAGCCTAATTATCAAGAACTCCTGTTATCTCCTCCGGAATTGTCCACTGATTTGGTTCGGACGATTTTTGCATTGCCAGCTCGGGATTCGATAACACGAGATCGTGCATCTCAATGAGGGACTCTTCGAGCAACTCAGCAAATCGCACAGCGTCGGTGTGGGGATCGCTGTTCCAGCAGCTGATGACAGCCACTATGTTGTTGGGATGGGGATTGTAAGCGGCACCGTAACCGTCAGGCACCACGGCACCGTAACACATGAACGTATCCATTGTGGTTGGCACCTAAAATCCAAAATGTGTGAGTTTGTTCGCACCTCTGCGTTCGGGCAAGTAGAACACGAAATCCTTAAGTACCTAAAGCCTCCGCAATGTTTCCTGGAGCGAAATTCTCAAACAATCTTTGGGCACTATTTCTCAGTGTAAAGTTGACAGGCATTTTACACACTTCTTTCTTTTGGGAGGTGGTAGTGACGTTTGGAGTAGACTGTAGGAGGCATTGGCATGCCAGTAAGGGAGGTCTCATTAACCAACGAGTTCTTGCTTGCCAAGGCTCGTTAAATGACCACATTCGACGGATACTTGTATGCGCCTTCAGGCAAATCGAAAGAGTCAGCGTGGGAAATGTGAACATTTTTTTCTACCCTTCATTTTTGGGAGTAAACGCACTCAAAGCTTCAATGAATCAAACTATCACTACGCCAGGCTTTCCCACCAACTAGAGGTTTGTTTTTTCTCACTACTCAGAAGTCATTCACACGGTGAGGAACTTTATCCACTTGACAACAATTAGAATTATTTCTTTTGCAAAACTAAATCTTCATCCAAACAGCATTGCTGACGAGGCATTGAACCTTGAAAGATGGAATTGAATGAAATTTGGTGCTACGTTAAAACATCCTCCATGGTGACATTCGTAGTTGCTCCACTTTATGCTCGGAAGATTTGGTTGTGATATTAATTTCATCCCATGGTCAACTTTTGCTTCTGTCAATGAATGCCTAGGGTTTGACCACTGCACTTCTGTCTCTCTCTGTCCTGGAGGCCTGCGATGGAAACGACGCGAAGAGAATTCGAATGCTTAGGGTGTCTCCCTGATTTCAAATAACAAAATCCAAATCTTGAGGCAAAGCAGGAGTCGCATACTGCCGATGGCAGTGTGATTACGACTTCTAACAAATGGGCCGAAAATGACTCCAACATTTAGTAAGCGTCCGTAAGCCCTTTAAAGCAGCCCATTACGGAACTATCCGGTAAACGCATATAAAAATATTACGTCCGCCACCTCTCCACCAGCATAAAGGAATTGTGGATTAATGCAGATCGGCAGCTCCGAGGCAGGAACAAAGCAATGCGGAGGGGTACAAGCAAAATCACTTGAACCACCTTTACTTAATGACGCCGATGTTGGACCAGTGCTCTTACGACTAATGACAGTTTTGCACATGGTGAACCGTCCATTCGCCTCGTGCAAAACGAAACTCCGATTCCAGTAGAACTGCGAAGAGCATCCAGTGGCGTGAGGGGAAAATGCCATCTCAATTGCACGAAATTTAGATGACTGACGGGGGTATTTGTTAGTCTCTTCTATACAGTATCGACTACGTGATGGATGATGGAAAAGAATGATGAAGAGGAGCGCTCTGACTGTCATTTAAAAGGGAAGAGGGATAGTAGGATGGAATACTTCAATGTAATACAGAAACCAAGACTACGCAAGGTGAGCCCTGAGCCATGCCCTTGGCTTCGCAGTCCATCCATGCATCCGATGAGCAATTTCCACTCCATCATAATGTCGCTTAATGCCTTTTAGAGAGTTAAAAGACGATGCGAGTCTTTAGCCTTTTAAAACTGCAGCATCAACTGTAAGACCTTGTTTAATTGACCACTTGTAAGACTGGCGGCCACTTTGATATTCATCCCCCCTTCTGAATGCCTTCGTCTACTTAATGGGAAGTCTTTGCCTTATTTACTTCATTGTGTCTTTACATCTTTAAATGGGTGCTTCATTATCCCATTTTTTTGGTTATTTGTTTTACATTTCTACGATTCCATACAATAAGAAGCAGTTAAATGAATTCGCAGGACCAAAGATGGTGTGCACGTGACTTATTTTAAGTTTTCACTCTTTATTAGTTACTCAGTGCCCGAAAACCCTCGAACCTTTAATTATGCCTCGTTTGCGGTCTATACCACTTATTGCCTGACTGAGGAGCGGACTTGTCGCAAAACATGTGCTTGTATAAGAATTTAGACATCCCAACATAGGTAACTGAACAGTTTGAGATAAGCTCCGACTAGGAAGTAATAATAACCACATCACAAGTTATTGTATGAAGTTCTTACTGAAGTGGCAAAGTAATTATTCATGACAGTCTACTTTGTAGCGCATATGAGCTGTTCAGATGCGTCGTGTGAATCGTATATGTGGTGGAGAACAACCTCTCAGGCGTGAACCACAAACCAGCATTTCCCCCACCCTTCTGTACTACGTCCTCCGTATGCCTCGTATTGCTTTACCAAATCAAACATCTCGAAGACGACAGGTTCTTAAAAAGCCTACTAAGAGGGAGGTGGGAGAGAGTAACAAAGCGTTCACGTAATTAGTCTTTGAAACAGCCATAGGAACGGAATTGAGGTTGCCACTTACAGTTGTTAGTCTGAAATGCGCATGAACGATCTAAATTTCCAGGATAAAAGATACTTCCAGAAAGTATGTGAGTTGAGCGGGGGTTTGTCAAATTTGACCTTTTAAGAGAGACTGTGCCTTAGAGGCGAATCAAATTACTTAAGGTTCGTTGCAAAGCAAAACATTTGGAGCACTCACTTGGCTTGTTGAGAGACGAAACCAATTGGCCTTCTTGTATGTGGGATCTTTAAATATGTCTGGCATGGGTTTTCCCAGCATGAGAGCTGTCTGCTGAAGTCCAAGCAAGTGGATGTCCACTCCGTAACCAAGAATGGTTTCCAACATCACCTCAGTTTGCCAGTCCATTGCCGCACGCAGCAACCGGATTCTATCATCCACCTGGCGAAAGAGGGTCAAATTTGTCTAAACTCGGTTGAGACTTGCGATACGTAGTAATCAACATGCATGAAATTAATTTCTGCTCAGGATTAGTTTCAAATCCACTACCAACACAAAGTTGTCGGTCAAGGCAAGGTATGCTTAGCTTTTTTGAGGTTTTACGGCCATAGACTTCGTGGAGCACTGCCGCTATGGCAGTCTGAATTGACGCAGTGTCTAGTCAGATTTCAACTGTGGTTGGTGCCACCCGACTACACCATTCATTCCACTCGTAAGTGGACTTCAAAGCCTTTAGTAGTGCATTTTAACGCGGAAAAAGATTAAACCTTTGACATCTGTTGATATGTCATTCGCAAGAGCACTTTGACCGGTGCTCCTGTGCACGTGTATAGCAATTGTTCTTTGTGCATTTTTACGAAAACACAGTTGTAAACTTTTTATTTTAACTTTTACTCCCTTGTCTTATACTTGCCTTTTAGTCCGAGACCAGTAGCCTTTAAAGTACTTGCTTTATTGCCTGATTGCGGTGTTTGCCTGTAGCCCCACACAAAGAGTGGATGTTGCTCACTTTCTGTACTTTATTGGCCGTCTTCACATGAAGTGAGCATGACTACCCTTCTGACAGTGACATTGAAATAGCGGTAAGCAAATGGTTTTACCTCATGGTGTGTCCAAAAGGAAACAGTCGAGTGGCTTGGCATGTCATGGGTGTGGCAGTGGACTGTAGTGGAGCGAGTTAAATTGTGTGAAGTTCGCCTTTATTAATCGCTCCTGTCCTATGTTATGCTACTGCCAACTGAAGTGATGTTGGACGTAGACCGTTTGTAAAAGTGTTAATTAAGTAAAAGTGCCACAGCTTCTCCGCCTCTCTACCGACTGATTTGGTCGAATAGCCCAAAAGTGGGCACCCAGTAACGCACCCATTTCACCCTTCTACCGGAGGTGGACAATTACGAAGGGTTGCACATTCATCTCCCCACAATGCACCTCTTGCAAGGGCCAAAACTCCACCTTCAGCAAGACCGCCTTCTTAGGTATGCAGAAATTTGATGAAGGAACGCAGGTCTTTTGTTGCTGCCTTTGAAGGGACCCTTGGCAAATGACCTTTGGGACCTACTTTACCCTACTAAAATGACACTGGCACGATTTTGCTTCAATATGGGCACAAGAGGAGGTATTGTCCGACAGGATGACACACAGTTGAGTGAATGTGCACGTGTGAGATTAAGCGATGCTTATGTCAATTTAAAAAATAAACATCGTACTTTGAAGAGTCGACTCCAGATAAAGCAATGAGTTAAACTTTTTTGCATTAGATATACCATGTAAAAATGTAAGTGAGCGAAACAAGAACAACAATTTCCCTTTGTTTTTTTTTAACTGAGACGGGAGAGAAGGTCGTATCTGTTCGGATAATTGTTGAGTTGGGTTAAAAAAGAGGTTACCGTGTTGGAGCTCCGCTCTTCAGTCATCGCCCGACACCACTTTAAAGCCGGCACAGAAGACGCTCGAATGTTGTCCACTCGACCAAGTTTGAACCGTCTCGTGGAGGCGCTTTCGTACGTTGCCACGAGGTAACCGTGCATTCTAAAGGTAAGCGGCCACAGCCTCAACCCTGCTGCTTCACTCGGACTTCTGGTGTAGAGGGCATCTCTTTGCCATGAACTCATGTACAGTTTGCATATTCTCTATCCTTTTGTAAAGTATGAATTCATTCATTCATGGAAGGATGAACACCTAACGCCTATTGATGGGCTTCTTTTTAAATCCGCTAGGACTTCAAATTAGGTCCTCTGCCAATGTTATGAAATGGTTGCAAGAGACAAGACGGATTGCTCAACAGCACATATGCATTATTCTTACTTGAAATGTGTTAGTTGAAGTGCCAATTGAATGAAGGAGTCGGGACTCATGTTCACCGTCTTTGGGAAATCGCGACCGTATTTGCCGAATCGCATCACGCACAGTTCGAGATCCTCTGTAAGTCTGAGTCCCAAGTAGGATTGAGAGTTTAAACGCACGAATGCGATGCAAATGTCAATTTTTACTAACAAAATGCCTTTAAAATCTGAGTGAGGTACAAAATTGTAAAAATAGTCGGTGCTTTCACAGTATGACCTCCTCTTTGTTGGTGATTTTGGCCGCTCTGAGGTGTCTACCAAAGAATTTGTGCACCAAAATGGAAAGTCGCCTACTTTTGTGAGAATAACAAGTTGGCAATCAAGACGAAGTGAGTGGTTGTGAGGTGTTGTAAACTCCTTGTTAGCCAGAGAGCAATTTTTCGCTAATTCTCAAGAATTTTAACTCAAGGCAAGAAAGAAGGACAGAGCGTGTGACGGGAAGTTTGCCTTCCCAAATAGCTACGTGCATGTCCTTTGTCCACACCCTTCAATTCGGCAGTATGCTCGCACATGATGTCTCCCTGGGCTATAATTATGCTTCGGCATCAAACGAAACGATGTTCTCCTCGTCCACCCTTTCCCTCCTCCTTTCTAGTGGGTCAGTCGCTAACTACAGACCCGTCCCTTCTAAGACGCGAGGACAAATATTCCTGTCATAAACTCCTGACCGTTTGTAAGTTGGTGAAAAGGAAAGTCAACTGCAGGTGGTTCGTTAGGAATTTTACGCTTAAGTTGTTTTGTACGAGTGCAATAAGTGTTTTATGGCTTGGGGCTTAACATCGCAGCGAGTTAATTGCTTAACTAATTTATGTAAATTTTTTCCACGTAGATGTGTCCGTTTCTCTGGGGAGTTTGTGTAAATCATGCGCATTTCCCAATCATCTGTCAAATTAACAGCACTCGCTTACCACACACCTTGAAAACATTCATTAATGTTTAGAAGGCAAATAAATTATTCTCCCTCAGGACATGGAACTGTTAAGAGAGATAATATCGAATCATATTTCACCATCAATGACAATTATCAAGATGGAACAATTTTGTTGGCTGTTGCATGAATCCGAGCCTGCTAAGAAGAGTACGAAAGGAGTTAGCCAAAGGCCTAAAGCCAACCTGTCCACCTCAGCTAGTGCCTCGTTGATAGCAGCATTTGTCGTTTCGTCGACGTTCCACTTCAGTTTCGTTGGCTCCGGCAATGAGCAAATTGAGGTGTGTCGAGTGAATTGCCAACGCTTCACCTCTTGCCTAGTGTGAGTGCAGGTGGAGAAAGAGAGACAAGTAACTTGAGTTGCATGGATGTATGCCTAAGTCGTTTCAATGCAATTCGGGACATAATGTCAACCAGCCATGCCACTGCCATCACATACATGCCAAATCGGTATTTAAGGGTAGTTAAATTGACTCTCAAGGATGTGAATTGAGATTTTATGGTTTCACGGGCAGTCCAGCATGTGTTCCAGGTCTTCTCTTTTGCGCTACTATCTTGGTCCTCTTTTTCTTCAGAAAGAACTCGTAATATCACCGCATTGCCCCTCAAAACAAAATTGTTCAAATAAAACGAAATCCTCTTTATGCCTATTTTATGGTGAGCTTGTGTGACAGCGCGTCTCCATTTGTACCGTAAGTTCGTGCACGTTTTGATGTCCCGGAGGTGAGTAAACGATTAGAAAGCAATTTCGCACAAAGGAGAGCAAGTTATCATACACGACCAACATACATATACTTGAGGATATACTCGATAAGCCGGATAACTGCGACGCCCTCTGCCACCGAGTGCTCATAATTTAGGCCGCAATTGCCATCGCGGGAAATGATGAACTAAAAAGGATTACAGCAGCCGAATTAGTTGGCAAAACAATTACATCTGAAAATAGCACCAGCATTCATGGAGAACAGTCGTACAAATTTGTCAAAAAGTGCACCATTTATTCACTGTTGTGCGAAGAAACTTCCCTGCATGCCAAATAACTACCTTCATCACATTTTGTGAAACATCATTTCAGTGAGGGGACGTTTGATCGCGGAATTAACTCAACCCCAAATCCTATAGGCCATCAAGGTGACTTATCAACATCGAAGGCCAAATGTTGCCAAACTCTCGAGCACCCAAATTAGGCAGTCGGAGTGAATTGACTAGCCTCGTGGTGGCGGGAAAGAAGGCGGGTGCAAAATCACGCTCTCATGCCTCGAGGCAATTAGCCACCAACTGTGTGGTGAGAATGAACTGCTAGCGGCAGAGCTAGAGGACGAGACAGTGATACGTGTGGAGAAATTTGATTACCTGTTTGAGGGTGAGTGAGTGAGAGGACAATGAGGGGATGGAGGAAGGGAGGAGTACGTGAGGGGATAACCTAATTTTCTTGTATCCCTTCGCATCTCTGTCCACCCAACAGATGCCCGAAAGCACGCATGAAAAGACGTTTGAACTGATTAGACTCTGCTCTAGGGCCTACGAGGCAAAACAAAGCAAAACTTGATTTCCATTTACTCTGGTTGTAATGCAGAAACTCCATCCTATTCGTTATAATCTCAGCCCAAAAGAATAAAAAAAATAGCGTATTCAAGAAGGAAATTGTTTTTGCAACACCTTGAAGTTCAATCACAAGTCCAAGAGAACAACATTAATGCGAGAACACTTTCTCAGATCGTTTTGCAGAATCTATTGTACTGAAGGTCGTATACTTAAGTTAGCTTAAAGTTGCAGGAGACAGACTTTCGTTGTTCAATCCCGAATTACACTCTTCGTCAACGAAGAGTCGATGATGTCCTTTTGATTTCGGTGAGCGGTGAAGGTGAGGCTCCACCACCCACAGGAGTGGGAGGAGCTAACCGAATGGCTTTAGCATTACAAATGACTAGTGCATTGCCGATTTTTTCCTAATTTGGCAAGGAAAAGTAGGCGTACCTTGTGGGGGTAAAGGCGCTCTGTTTTGTGTTGCAGATGTTGGAAAGGATGTGTTACCATTTGAGCAAATTAGTGGGCACGCTCAAACCTCAAAGACCAAACGAACAACTTTTGCGGAATCACAAAGGCGTATTTTGAGGAGGAAAAACTGCTGTTCTTATGCTTACCGAGTACCGTAAAGAAGTTTCGCTCCCTAGAAGATGGTCGTCAAAGAAATTAACCATTTTCAGCTAAAACCAATCGGTTTGTTAGCATCGCTTTTTTGGGATAAGTTGTAGGCTTTAAATTTGAAAAGGCAATAAATTGTGCGCGACTTTAGTCGAAAAATTTTGCGCATTGCAGCAACATTTTTTTTTGAATTTTTCAGTCGCTTATGCAATAAACAAATATTTGTTTACACTTGCGTTCAAATCCTCTGGGTGGCATTAGACTGAAACTTCTTCTCTCATGACGGTAATTCTGAGGTCAAAGAGTTTATATCTACTTGCTAAGAGAAACGTTGACAAATTGTTTTAGTGGTGGGAAGTTCGGATTTCGCGCCCAATCGACACAAACAAATGATTAAGTATTCTGTTGCGCTTACCTGCATGGTTTTATCATACCAACGGTTCGCACCGTTCAACTTGCTCCCCTGTCCATGAAGCATTTGCTCGACCAGAAAGACGTCGTTTCGATATTGCGATGTGGGGTTGGCTTCAGAGCCATATTCTTCCCCATTCTCCTCGGTCAGCTCCGTCTCATCCAGGGACTCGATTATCGGCACGGGTGAAATGTCCAAACACAGGATAAACATGCTCTTCTCTATATCCTCGAGGTTTTGTGCGTTCACAGAATCTATATCAAAATGACAAGTAGTGATGATTGTTGCCAACTTTACCTGGAGGCATCTGCTCTGTCAACCTTTGATGCGATCACTAGCGCTTGAAGTGCTGCCAAACTTACCTTTTGTCAGATGTTTGTACACCTCCGCCCATCGCGGCCTAGGCAAAGCTGTGAGAGCTCCGACACGGTACACTTTGTCCTTAGTTGTGGAGGATTCTCGCACTACTCGTCTCAGTTGGTTGTATATCTCCTCCTCACCTAGCCGACAGTCTTGAGAAAGCAAGTCTAGCTTAAAAAACTGTAAACAAGAGAAGTGACATTAGACTTTGGAAACGCCTGAACAACGTCCAAATAATGTGACTTATAAGATGGAATGCATTAAACCAAACAGTGGACAGAACAGTACCTTTAAAGGCAACTCCATTTTAGGATGAAGGTCCTTGCCGAGTGAGGTTCAAAACGAAATTACACATTCTTCTCATATATTAATTGAAAAGGCCACGATAATGAAGCAGGTTTAGATGATGTCTAACAAATTTTCTGGGATTATTACCGAGTGCGAAGTCCAGTTGATCCGTATAAAACTGTTAATAATCCAAAGGATCAGACGGGTTAACTAATGTCTGCACCACTAAGCCGCAATCTGTACTGCAATTGGAATTCCATTCAGAACAAGTCCTTCAAGCTCTTTTTTTTGAGTATGAAATAAAACAGAGTTTATACATTTCAGACAGCCATGGTAATGAAGAGCTAAAGGTACTGCACCTCTTAAAGGGTTCCTTAATCCTACAACAGCAAGACGACTCGCCTTTGACTCAATTGAAAAATCGAGATTTACTGCAATTAGTCCTAGCAGAACCGACCTGATCATGACAGGCGACAATTGCATGCGCATTTTCCGCCACCTCCGAGAGGTCACGAGTCACCAGTTTGTCCTTCTCCGTGCCTGGGTATCGATATGAGGTGAATAGACGATAGTACTGCTCCATGCACAGTGGCTGACCCTTTCGATTGTGCGAGACTCGGTCGATGGGCAAAGAGCGTCTAGCGGCATGGAATTACTTGTCTTTAATTTTAAAATCACCACTGCCTAATGTGAAGCGACTACATACACACACTGTCACAATGAATTTGAGGAGAAATGAAGAAGCAGAGATATCATCCATCGGCCACCATTTGCCGAAACTAAAGTGTAAGCTAGGCTGCCCATCTTAAGCGACTTCCGGCTCCACCTCAACCATGTTCATTGAAGTCATGGAAATGATTAAAATTTTACTTCCATCCCTTTATCAGTATTTTGCTGATAACGGGTCTGAAGTATTTTATTTGTATTTAAAAATCCTAGCATTTGGAGAATGGTGCGCTAGTTGGCACATTGACGAAAACAATCACTAAAACGGCCCCAGGCCGAAGTGTGTTGCAAGTGCAGAAGCAAACCTTACTGCTATGTGATGATTTAGGGTATCCGTTAAAAGTGAGAAGAGTGATTTTCATCGTCACCTTTACCACATGGGAAGCCTTGAGAACGCCGTTGGGGAAGGCGTAGGCACAGGCGGAAACGATGATTGCCTGAACTAACAACGCATCATTTCTTGTCTTGACTTGAGGATTGCGTGCAAGACCAGGTTTGAACAAGCTTTTCCCATTCTTGGTTGTCGCGATCAGGGGGTGAGGAGGGGAAAGACTTGCTGTGGCTAAGTTTATGGAGACATTGCATGACTCGAAAAATTAGCTTTCTGGCTAAAAACGAACGGCAAATTCTACTCTACAGAATGGTAAAAGTGAAGTCTTCAGGCTGGCATGACAGAGTTTTACTGCGTGCACGGTTAGATAACCCCAGTTGAGATTCTTGAGTCTGTATTAGAAGTAATTACACTTTTCCGTATTTAAAAATTTCCTTTTTGTTGCTGGGTAAACTTTTCCTAACACTACAGCTTTCTTGCGTTACTTACGTGTCGAGAATGGTCTTGTAGTCCAGTATTCCCGAAATCAGTTGCGCCGCAAATCTAACCGAAAAAGAAATGAGAGGTACAGAAAAATTTCTACTGGAACACACTAGAGTTGATTTCTTACAACCTAGCAGTGCATGTGAAAGAACAAATGTTGGCAATGTTATTGGGTGGCTGTAAACCCGTAAACCGGTCAAGTTGCCTTAAAGTGGACCAAAATTGAGCTGCGATGACTTTGCTAAACAAACCAATTTGAGAAAGTCTTAAATTAAAGTAAGAACGCGAAAGCTCAGGTTTCCTTTGCATGTCTTCCAGTCCTCGTCATGGGAGCCGCTCTCTGTGGATATGGTGGATTGTATCAAAGTTTGAACACCAAAGTAGCAACTCCTATGGCCCAGTTTACGGTAAAGAGGGCGTAGCTCTACAGTGCCTCAATTAATTTTGTGCCGATGGACTTTGGAGGAATGTTAACTTTCTTGCTTGAAGTTTGCCATTAACTTTATTAAGACCGAAACAACTTTTACGCTCCTTGGTTATGCCAACTACTCTTTAACTGGCACGACACCGCTCACCAGCAGACTCTGGTAGCACCCATTCCACCGTTATGATCTACTTTCCACAATGATCATTGAGTGAAAAAGGCAGAATCAGAGTAGGGACAGACTTCAAGATGGAGTTAGGATGGTGATGAGCCTACCGCAGTTGCTGGCGTGCGCTGATAAACTGATGCCGAGGGAATACCATCGCCGGGTTGGAGTTGAGTGGCAACGGCAGGGGATTTTTGAGGTACATGTCCTCCAGCCACCATGAGAAGGCCTTCAGATAAAGACACGTTAAAAACTTATCAAGAAGTATAGTATCCTATGATTAAGCACGGAACCGCTTGTTATAATTTAAAAATTTGTTCCTTTTTGGACAAACTTTAAATTTGTATGCATTTTAAGTTTGTGTTCATTTCAGCCCCCTCCTTCGTACTCCTGCTGACCAGTGTGACGAAACGGCTCCTTGCGCTTCCAGGGCTGTTATTTTGAGCGACATTAACGTGCTCCGAGTAGGAGAAGCAATGGCAATTTTTAACAAAGGACAACTACCTTCATCACGGATTCCGGGCGAATGCTACAGACAGCTAGAAGCATCGTTCCACGAACCACATAAAACAGTTTGTCATGGAACTGTACGAGACATCTTCATAAAGTTGTCAAATAAAGTGACCACTCAAAATTTCCTTCACCTCTCTGCTAACTGAGTTAAACCCTGACACTAACATTTAAATAGCGCAGCAAAAGAAGTCAACGCACAACGTCTATTCAAAGCCATTTTTGAACTCCTTCCTTTAATAAACAACTAGTTTGTTCTAGGGCCATTCTCAAGACCAGTGGGATGATCTCTTAGATGCTCTTTTACTCAAAACGGTCTTTTAATAGGACGAGAGCTCAACTTTTGTAAAATTTCCAAGATGAATCAAAGAAACTCAAAAACATCCATAATTGTCTGATGGATGTTTCTCTCACAGCGCCGATCGCAGCTTGGCGATCAAGATGAGAGATAGGATATGAAAAGTGCCAATGACGACGAGTATAGGAAAAGAGGAGCTAAGTGATAGTTAATTTGTTCGCTCAAAACTCAGTCGTGGTGACGAGCTACTTGAGGGTTGTCTGGCCACTGCATAGAGCCAATATCCTTTCAGTCCTAGAATCAGCTTTTCTCTCGTCTTCAAGAAGGACCTATGCTCGGCGATGGAAATGCAAAAAAGTCCATCACTTCATTCTTGGTGCGTTGTTGTTTTTCATGAGTGGTAACTTCTAACATCCACAAGTTCAAGTCGCGTCAGCAGCTTACAACACGCTGGCTGATCGCCTGGAATGGCCGATTCGTTTGGACCTACAGCGATTCCATGAAGCCATGTTTTTTGAGAAGTAAGGTGTTGTCGAAAGCAGTTGTTCATTGATCCAAATACTTTCATGTTATATTGGTCAGACTTTTGTGGATTTTGGCTGAATTTTTTGAAAGTGCAAAATGTCAAGAAATAAACAAATAAAGTAGCTGCTGATTTTTCCTCATGCGTCAGTGCAGTCATTAACAAAGACAGCAACCTTAACGCACCCAGTTGACTTGTGTTTTTGCAAAAGTTTTGAGCTCGGCTTGGAGTTGGTCACCTTCACCTCCGGAACGAATGAATTCGTGAACTAGGCGTCGTGTTCTTTTGAATGTCTCCTCGTCAACAATTGGCGCGATCACCCCGAGGTACCGAGTGAGAGTAGTCCGCAACTCCGGCACAGGTAATTTCGGAAGAGGTTTCTGTGGGCGTTCACACATTACAAAATAAGCTCGTTTAGAGAGTACTGCGAGTTTCGCCCAATTTGTGAGTGAACAAGGAAGTTTCCTTCGTAATGATGCCGAAATGCTAAAGACAGCTGTTCTAGTTGTGCTGCTTTTGAAACACAATCCTTCTTCTCAAGCACACCGGGGCAGACATTAGTTTTTATACATCAGTATACACCTTAGGTAAATCAGCCTTCAAGCCTGTAGCACTCGTTACCGGTGGGCGAGTACGCTGGTCGCATCAATGCCAAATGTATGAGGCGTGCTAAAGCATTCCAGAAAGGCAGAGGAGGAATATCAGTGCATGATGTTGCCTTGATGTTGATCTTAAGCATAACTTTCTGCCATGATATTGAGGCACATTTTTAATGCATCGCCCCAAGTTATGGCCCCTTAATATCCCTGTAGAAGGCATGAAAGCGAGTAGAATCGAATCCCCTCAATTGTGTCTACAGTCTATCACATCGCGTGAACATTCTAGAGCGTCGTGCCTGTCCACCAACCCTCCTAAATGCCCCTCAGGGAGGTGAGACAGATTTTAGGTCTTCCCATAAGACCCCAAATGCCAAGATCAACCAGTTAGTATAAATAATCGGATTATGCCCTCAATTTCCCAATTCCCATACGATCATACACTGTATGTAATCTTGAGCTCAAATGATAAAATTTAATCGAGTGAATATCCTATTAAAATACAGCACGCACTGGTCAAATGCCAATTTAAGCATACCAAGGCAAATAAATTTGTAAAAATGGATTTAATTATAAACTGCGACTCACTGATAAATCCCACTCTGGATACTGGTCAAGATCCTTTAAAGAAATTCGTCTGACGAACTCTCGCACATTCCTTGACATCTCCTACCTTGCCTTCTCCGTTCTATCCTAAATGAATCCAAGCACAAAATCTAGAGGTACAAAAATGCAGAGGACGGCGAATTCAGACAAAACACTTTTTACACAGACGCCCTTTTGATTTGCAGTTTGGGATGCTCGCTAAGTTGTCCCACCACCTATCATCGAAATGAACATTTTAACTCAACCTCGTGCTAGCTCAACAAACGACAAATGTTGACGTCAGGAAGACATTTATGCGTTTGGTATGCCATTATTTGCCGCCAAATCTAAGGAACCCCTTACACACACTTTGTTGGTCCCTAATGGCAAAGTCCCCTGAACTTTGTGCCTTGAGCGCCTAAAATGGTAATTTTTTTTTATTTTACAGAGACGTTGATCATTCGGCAACACAACAGAGAAAGCATGCGAAAAGACGAGACCTTTAGATATGCATTTGTCTGCAATCACAATAAAATACTTCATTTTGATTAGAGGGAGGAGGTGAGAGAGGTACAACTTATACATTTTTTTATTGTTCTTAATACTTATAGCTGTTATCTCTGGTATAGCCATTTTGATTACCATCTACCGTAACCACATTCGGAGTTGCGCGGACCACACCTCTTGAGCCATCGGCCGCATAGACCGGTCGTGCTTCCATCACGTCCATGATTTCACCCTGCTGTTCATAACCCGGGCACTCTGTGGAAAGCGCCTTTGCGCGCATCGCCAGTTCACTTGACATAGATGTGGCACGGCGACATCCAGCAGGCTCGAAACGTGCAGTGTCCTGCCTTTTTATTCGAGTTCTTTTACTTGTAGAATCCTTCGGTTTCAAATCTGAGATAGAGTCCAAACCTTCCTTCTGTTCTTCATTCTCTTCCTCCTCCAACATCCCCATTTTCTTCTCCCTTTCCTCATCTGGGACACGGCACTTTCGTAAAATGTAAAGCAAGGGTGTGTAGGCACAAGTAACCACACAAATGCACACATTGAGTCCAGTGAAATTCATAACACGGAGCAGATTTCCTGCCACTATGGGGCCGATAGCATAGGCAACGGAGTATGATATGTCTGCGATAGCGTAAACTGAGCCATAGATAGAGACAAAACGTGTGTCTACCAAGTAACCCAGACACGGAAGTATGGCTGTGTCTACCAGAGCTACTCCGTAGCAAAGAATGGAAATAGGCATCATGAGACTCACAAAATTCTTACAAAATGGAATGAAGATGCAGCTTATGCCCTCAAGCAGCAGCCCTATGGCAGCTATCAACCACTGGTACTGTGGATACTTTTCGGCAAGCTTAACAGTCGTATAAACACCCAGTACGTGTGGCAGGAAAGCTGGAAGCCAAATAAGACCAGCTTGTGAATTGGTGGCTTGCATGGTGTCTTGCATCCATGTTGCAATGGTCGGCTCCAGAAAGGCCAGGGAAACGTTGGCAGAGACAAGTGCTCCAGCACATATAAGAATGAAGGGATCACGCAAGAGGCGATGAATAGGCGCAGGTTTAGGTAGGGCTCCTTCAGCCTGTAGTTCCATTCGAACCAGTCTCACCGGCTGCATTACAAACATTACCAAAAATCCGTCAAACAAGGCTAGAAAAGCAAGTGCTATGAAAGGAAATTCTTTTCCGCAGTACTGATAAAGAACACCACCAAATGGAGGTGCAAATAATGAGCCAAAAGAGATAAATGCCAATGAAATACCGAGGGCCATTGTGCGTTCGCTCTCCTCGGTGTACCTGTCGGCTATCATGGCAAATCCAGAGGTGTCAGCAAATGCAGAACCAACGCCTTGAAGTCCGCGAGCCGTAAACATAACTCCGAATGAGTGGCCAAAAGCGAAAATCGACGTGGAGACGAAGATTACACTCAAACCTATTACCATGGGAATATCATAACCGATTCGATCAATGATATGACCAGATAAAGGATTGAAGAAAAGCTGAACAATAGCCTTGAATGCAAACAATGTGCCGATCTTTGCATCCTCGGCCTCTGGAACAAGCCAGTTGAATTTAATTTTCTCCTTTCCTGTATAGTTGTGCAGTTGGGCTGTCTGCGAAAAGTTAGCAATGAGAGCTTCACGTCGCTGAAGAACGTCAATGGTTCGTAGGTAGTCGGGAATAATGGGAACTATCACCATGTAGAGCATATTGTCCAAAAGCAGCGCGATACTCACTATTACAAGCACTATCCTCCGTTGGGATTCCGGCTGTAGCATGTGGCTCCGCACATAGTTCATCAAACCGGCACAGAATTTCATTTTGCTTGGATCTATATTCATTTACACCTTTAAGCCTTAAATTTTACGCACGAATTTTCATAATCAGCGATCATAACTTATGACTTATTACTAGGTACTTAAAGCTCTACGTACTCCTTATTTGTGCGTCTAAATTTCATTGTTTCTACTTTATTTAATGCTATGCTATGTGGAACTCGAATACTTCGTACAGACTTTCGGATCTTGATGTTGTTGCTGTTTTCCGTTGTTTCACAACAAATTGAGTACTGAAGTGTGACTATGGTGTCCTGTGACTCAATTCGGTTTTAAAAGGAAGGATTTCCACGTCATGATAGATGCACAGCACTACGCTGCTAACTCGTACAGACCCTTAGCGTTCTCCTTAATGCGTTTTTAGGTCTTTATAAGTAGTAAGAGTTGGTCAAAGAATATACTTCGCAAAATGGGTTTGAAAGGGATTAACTTATGTGAAATGGTAAATAGTTGTAGGTGCTGCAGAAGAAATTTCAATTTCTCAGCTAACTCCTTTTGCATTAATTGCATGGGGGTAGCGAATTAGTTCATTGATTTTGTTCTTGCGACCACTTAAGAAAAGTTTACCAATACTAGCAGCATCCCCATTAGTATCTCCGCCTTCGGAGATTACGAAATCAGAATTAATTCGCTGTGTTCATGTAAACACGGGAAAACAGTTTAATGCTTGACCGATTTGTGGCCCCTATGATGCTACAGATGCTTTGATGATTGACAACGGTGACAAACTCTTGTGATATTGAATTGGTGGTCCATTATTTTCCCCTAATTCTACCTCAGCTCCACCCTTTTGGTCGTAATCTGCTTATCATAGTTGGCTTTATTTTTCCAAAAACGACGCGAGTTACTTGGAAAAAGTAATGGATACTTATTTTGTACTCAAGAGCTAGCTCAGTCATCTCAATGCGCCATCATTATACGTATTGTAGCTTATGAAATTAAACAATCTTTTGGAATTACCATTCTCCGCTTGTATATTTGAATGAACTCTACTGTGCATTTAGGTTACCGGCAGAGCAGTGAATAACTCACCTCTGAGAATTGAATCCTGAGGAATTATATCAGACCAAAGACCACATATCTATCGGTTGCCTCCAGACCTGCTAACTCAAAGGGATGGTTTGGACTGCACAAGAATGAACCAATGAAATTCAAGGGAGGGGCGGGCAACGCGATGCGATGCGCACCAATCCGACGTGGCCTCTGGAGGAGGGTGGCATCCAGTACGCGTATCAGTGGGAGGATAAAAGTAGTGAATTATTTCGTCTTCTTTCCTTTTCACTCAGAAAAATAAACGGTCCTTCAATCAATAAAGAGGAGAGCACGTAGCTCAAAAGTTTTCCAGTTCCGGATACTCTGACTGGGTGCGGTGGGCGACCACTAGCATCGATAATTTAGAATGATTGAGTATGGTGCCGTATTGTGCTTTTGGCTTAAAAGGGACCACTATAATGGACCTTTGAATACTAGAGATATTTTTGGAATTAAAATTGAATTAAGAGAGTAAATTTGTTAAGCCTTGTGTAAACAATAAATCGGTACTTAACCTGATGTTTTTCCCATTCATTAGACATAAGTGTCTGCTAAAGCATGTTTTAAGCTTCTTAACTATTAAAATTAGTTTTTAATGCTGCTTTTATTTGCAATGCGTTTAAATAGAATTGTTGATTTAGTACTATTATCATCTTTAATTGGGCAACTTCAAACGATAGTAGCATGTACTTATTTGATTCATATTATTCCTATCATTAATGAAGTGGAGGAGGACAAGTGATGAAGGCAAGGAATTAAACCAAACACAAAGGCATCAAGCCTAATTAACTTTATTACTGATGAAGCACAGCATCATCGAAAAAAACACAATTTAAATATCCTTCATGTCTATTTTGTTGACTAATGCAGGCAAAATGAGACCAAATGCACCCTGGTGTCACTAAAAACCCTTCTTTGAAAACACTTATTCTTCAATTGATGTCTCATTGATTTAATTCAAAGACAATCTTTTTTCCACGACAGAAACAAGTGAGGGCAATAGGATCCCGGTTTGTTTTTGTATTAAGTGACTGCATGAGGTCAGATTTGTGTTTTAATCGACACTCTCTAACAAATTATCTGGACCGCAAAATCGTTGCGATTCAACTTTGCTTTCAAATAAAAGTACTAGACTTAAATTAAATTATGTATCAGTTATGATACAGATGTTATAAGGTAGAGGACATGTTATAATGTCAAGAAAAAGTTCACTTCCCCCAGTGGTTAACTCCCCTGTCCTTCGGGGATATGTTCGCTATCTCATTGAGGCATAGATTTCCCATCACTAATCGAGACATTATTTGTTGTCTACCGTTTCCATGCCTTCTAAGGATGGCGTAAATTAGTAACGATTCCAAAAGTTGTAAGTGCTAATGAACCTATCCCAGCATTTTGCAATGTTTCTAAGTCAAGTGATATATTTTAGTTTAAAACAATCCCATAAGTCCACGCTTGGGAACTAAGGCGAGTGACTTTGGAACACTACACCAAAAATGTCCCACCAATTAGTTATGAACTGTCATTTTCAGTGGTGTACATGTAAACGCTGCACACACTCGAAACCACACTTCCTGTATACAACTATACTACAGGTTGAAACAAACAAATTTTTGTAATGCTCCATTCTACATCTCTGAGACATATTGAGATACGTTGCTTACTAGGTCATACTACTGTGCGAGAATAAGTAGACCGTCCAAAGCGCCTCACTGAAAGTGACAACCAAGCTACACGAATCCATCAAATCGAAGCTCGAACCAAGACGGAGAGTTTGGTTTGGTTTCGACAAACGGAAATTTTGTCATCTTGGGATTCTAGTTCAGCTGGCTTCTAAGACACGATAGTGGTCAGCGAAATCAAAGCTCTGTTTCAGCAAGATGCAACGACTCAGACCCCTGAATGGCAGGAAACTTGGGGCCACCATCGGTGAGTAAAGCGTGACAACCAACAACTACATTGCTGGCTATTGCACACTAAAAGTTGAGTGATCAGCATTCTGAGCCACACCGTTAGAAATGGTCCGCTATTTCTACAATACCCTCAAGGCTCAAAATTTGGCAACGGACGTTTACCAGTGAACCAAACATCAGGAGTGGCTCATTTGCGTACTTGGAATGAGGATAGAAACGACGGTTGGCAGATCAATTTTTAGCGAAATCACTTAAGCATCAGCTTTGTAATACACACAGACATGACAATGCATGCTTAACACTTACCATCTACAGTAAACAGATATCGACAACGTCATGAACGCACGGAAACTAAGCTGAACGTTCGAGACACAAAAACGTCAGATACTAAACGCTTCAGAAGGACTAAGGGAAAAAAATTCAAACACCACATGTTTACCTTAGCTTACTTTGCAATCTGAAAAGTGAAGCGCTGAGTAGTACAAAATAGAATAAAAAAAGGCTGCGTTAGAATTAATCAGTAATTAGTCATTATTCAGACCACAGAAACGATTTAAGACAGAAAATTCACATGCGATTTCCATTTTAATGAAGTGCAAAAGGCTTGCACAGGTCCAATTCCAAAGCGTCTCTCCAATCGGGGAAATTGGGTTTTGGTGGCAATATTGGATGCAATAAATTGCCCAATATTTCAGCACAAAACATCGCTCCGAGCCTTGCAAAGTGAAGTCCGTCTATGAGGAAATCTTTCCAGTTCTAAATTAATAAAAAAGAACATCTATATGCCCGTCCTATTCAAGCTAGCGACCAGACGCAATCAGACCTTTAACTCAACGCTCTTAAGTAGGACGCACCAGGCCACTGAGTCAACCGTTATATGTAACTCTTGCATATTTACTAAAAAATAACCAGCAATGCACACCTTATTAGAAAGATAGCGATATAAAAAATATGACTTAGAAATCACCTCTTGCGCAGCCATTGTTTCGAATAAATTTACGCAAGTCACGCCCTCCGATTTTGCAACGTCTAGACAAGCATCTGCGTAATTTTTCGTGTTTTCAAAAGTTCTGGTAACGAGCTCCTCTTAAGAAAAGAAGAATGCTAAAAGTCACCTTAAGGGCCAACAAGAGTACCACAAAACACTAAATAGGAAGAACTGAATAATGCTAATGGCTTCGGTGCTAATAAAATTGGACTCACCTGGCATATGTCCTATTTCATCCACTGGAGGTGGAGTAATAATGAATATTTTTGACCGATCCAAGCTCATCACCTTTAAATAAGTAGCAGAAATTACCATACGAACGCCTTGAATAACACAGAAACAGCCAAACTCTGTTCGTAGTTCAGATCTAGTAGCTATTGAAGTTTCCAGCAAAGCAACACCCGTAATGCACTTGAAGCCTGAATGACCATTCAAACTTAACTCTGAACTAAAATGCTAGCATAACAGTAAAAGCTACACTATAGATGAAAGAATCAATGGTTCACAGCCACAGAATTGCGTGAAAATCCAGTATGAACAATGAAGCAATGCAGGAGAAAGATGTCACTCGAACATGGAACCTTAGACCGCTGACTAGAACCATGTATAGCCCTTCAACCCAGTGACATCCAAAAGTAGAAGAAATGCCAGGGAATAACATACGGTAAGATGGGCAATCATGAGAGAAAGATTACTCTTGTATTCTGAAAGTTCAACTTTTTGTGATCCGGAACTGGCATCGTTAGCACCGAGGAAGATAAAGAAGGCTGCCGTGTTTTGCAGACACTCCGGATTGGGAAAGAGAATTTTTAGAACCGGAAGGCACCATCGAGTATTATACCCCGAAAACCCACGACCAATAATATCTCCCCGTCTATAATGTGAAGCAACGAAAGAAAGAACTATCCTAAAATTGACGTGTCTAAGAAACGCTACTTTGAAGTAGATAGAAGCGTAATTGGGTATGGTAGAGAGCGTGGTGGTCAAATTTACCGTTGGAATCGAGAAGCGAGAACGCTAAGGTAACAGCCCTCTTCGTCGAATCCTCGCTAAAATAGCATACCACAGTTTAACAGAATGAATTCCTAACACTCCAGGTTTGTGAAAGCAGTATGTTACCTTTTAGCTCCAACAGGACGACAATATATATTTTTTGAAGCTTTGCAGACATCAACCTAAGTTAATATACCAGTGATCAAAAGCACGATAGGTAAGTAACAGGTACGACTACAAATAAACTAATGAAACAAGCTGCATCCCAAGGACAAACAGAAACCTAGACCTATGCAAATAGCAACCCACAGTGTTGACAAGACCGAATAAGGTTATAGAAGGTAGACCTGCGTTATCGAGTCGCCAAAGAAAATACACCTTGGCCAAGTCGGACCACCACACGCACACATATGACTATGAGATAAAAAGCGCTTCAACGCACACGCTACGATTTGCATTCAAAAGATGACCTTTTCGTCGATGGTTGAAGCATTAAAAATATTGTGGCATATGGCTTAGCATTATTTCTAGTTCACTTCAGACTAAAAGAAAATTCACGCAAGGGGAAATATTTATTATTTGGCCAGGAGGACAAAAAACTAAGGTGATGGCGAAGTATAATCGTGGCAGACTGATCCTGTAGTGAAACAATTGTAGATTTGAGGGAACAAAGCATTACAACAGTCATTCTAAGGTGACATAAAAGCTGGTATTGGTGCAGAGCCTATTTTTGCACTATCAAAGATTGTTCAAGACCGGTTGTGTGACGTTAATGAACACCCAGATTATTCTTAACTTCCCACTATGTAAAAGATGGCATTGGGTTAAGCTTAAGCAGAGGGAATCAAGGATAAAAAAGGGGAATTGGCCTTGGTTTGACAAAAAGACCAGCTCATGTGCACGAGAGGAGGACAAACATAAAAGATACCGCCGGACATACAGGTACTCACATTAAAGGTCTTTCACATTCTGCAATGTTTTGGCTACGTGACTAACTGGTGTCTTATGGTAACTTGAGTATTCGTTTCGCCCTCGTACGCGTGAAAAGGCATTTGGGTTGACTTGGATTTATTCCTACTTCTCCCCCTAGAACGTATATACTTAGCCCAACTTAATGTTTCCTTTCCGTTGGAATATAAGTATTTAGTCTAATGCAAGCATGCAAACAGTTATAACATCTTCTTGTACCAAAGGAAAGTCCCGGCAATCTGCACATGGCTAACAAAATTTTCTTCAGAATTTTGTGTACTTTTAGTAAAAAATATAAATCTCTTTAATGTTTGTTGGCCCGCATTATTCCTGTCACTTACGCCAACTACCCTGATTGAGTACAGAGGCGTTTGACAGTTAGGAGAAAATTAGACAATTGGGGAACTGGATAAAAGAGGTAAATAAAACGCCGCCTCGAGACCACCCTGAAAATGGGAAAGGGTAAGCTGCCTCGGTGTGGTGCATACGTGTTTATCAGGCTGTAGGAAATCGACTCTACTGGCATGCCGCTGACAGCGAGTTTCATGACGATGACACTATAACCAACAAACCGACTTTTGTTGTAGAGTCCAAAAACTGACGCCAAATTTGCGCACACCCTTCCTCTTTTGCCATTCACACCAAGTGTTCTCAAATGATGAGCCTCTCACACTAACCACCAACAAACCCACACACTAGCTAACCGTACCATCCATCTCACTGCTACGTAACTGTGGCGATGCTTGGCTTAACGTCACTAGGCCATCTCGACTATTTGGCTGGAACTG